TTTTTTTTGTCTGCATAGTCTAAATAATAGATACAGTATTTATAGATATTTTATTTTGGGGAATTTCATGTTAGTTTATTAATTAATATTTAATATATTATTATTATTATTATTATTTATTTATTTCTGTAGCAAACTAAATCTTTGATATTTGTAGCTATGCTTTTTAAAAATTAATTCATTTATTTATTTTTAATATGCATAAAATTATATATAAACACCTTTTTGTGCCCCATGTATATTATATTCGTCAATCACTAAATTCCTGACTATAGTTTCTTGATGCAAAATGCTTTACCTGCTTTATTTATTTAATGCTTATAATATAATAATGTTATAATAAACCATTATTTAATGCTTTATTATAACAGGTGCCGTATGATTTCAGGAAGCTTTATTTTTTACTTCTGTAATAGTGGGTTTAATAGATTTGGCGTGTTATATATATATATATGAATTACATTTTTCCACCAGTACTTTTGGATTTGGATTTCAGTAAAACTATATTTTTGATCTAAAATATAGCAAGATTGTGTATTGTGTAAACAGATAGCTTTCGTCAGAGCGCGTCATGTGCCAAACTGACGAGAACAACGTCTGACTGTGTGATGCAGAACTGTTGTCAGAGATCTCACACACGTCTACATCCATCCATCTGACTGAATCTCCTCTTTCTTTCCAGAGCCAATCACGGACGTCATCGATTTGGGACAGAACAGACTCAGTTGCTCCTCTTCCGAGGAAAAGCCTAATGGTACGAAGCCACTACGAGAACCATTTGTGGGGACAATGAAAACGTACAACTGAAAGAAATCAAATATTTAGATTAAAAAATGTGTACAAAGTAAAAGAAACACATGGCAGATGATGTGGATACAAGCTGTATATTGTTGCTGCTGCTGTACATTCATGTATTTCATTCTCGCATAAATGTATTTATGTTGAAAAACTATTTATATGTTTATAAAAGAGATATTTATAAATATGAGTTTTATTTATGTAACATTTTGAAACGAATGCAAACTGCAGGCCAATTCTGTTGTAACTATTTTGTCTCTAATAGTTGTAAATGTTTTAAAAGTCATTAAAAAATGCACAAATGCAAACATTTTTTTAAAATACTCATTTAACATATTCTCTGAAATCAATAAATAAAATACATTTTCTTTAGAAATGAATACACTAAATCTATCTTGTTTTGAGGATGCTTGGATAGAAATCAGCACAAAAAGGGGATTTTCTCTCAGAAAAGCGCGTGAGTAAAAAGCCTACGGCCTCTATGCTGAATATTTCATTAATAAACCTGCTATAATGAATAAGCAGGAGCACGAGGGGGCAGAACTGAGACTCTGACACACGTCCAGATGAATCTCTCAAACATTAGACAAGCATTTAGCAGAATTTTAACTGAAATGGCAGAAAGGAGTCCAAGAACATTGCTTACTACAATTAAGTTGGACCCACTAAGTCGGCAAAACAGCAGATTTATTAATGAATTAGTGCTGTATATATCTGTAGAGTGCTTTTAAAGGAGCTCCCGCTGGCTCGTTTGGGTCTATAGGCCTATATCGCAAAGGAAGAGACTCTTTGACAGATAACCTCACTCCAGTTCAACAAACGAAGAGAAACGCGATCTCTGATCACTGAACTTACTAGAGAATCTAGGAGAACAAGAGCTTGTCTAGACGTCAAGCACACAAAACAGCTATTATAACTATATAATTAGCTATTTATAATGATATAAGAACTATTTGTTTATAATTATATGATTAACACAGGATAATTTTTACAACCTCGCCATTTAAAATCCCAACAGGATACACTTGCTGATTAATTTTAATGAATGGGTAAGTAATATATATATATATATATATATATATATATAAGGAAGAGACTCTTTGACAGATAACCTCACTCCAGTTCAACAAACGAAGAGAAACGCGATCTCTGATCACTGAACTTACTAGAGAATCTAGGAGAACAAGAGCTTGTCTAGACGTCAAGCACACAAAACAGCTATTATAACTATATAATTAGCTATTTATAATGATATAAGAACTATTTGTTTATAATTATATGATTAACACAGGATAATTTTTACAACCTCGCCATTTAAAATCCCAACAGGATACACTTGCTGATTAATTTTAATGAATGGGTAAGTAATATATATATATATATATATATATATATACTCAAGTTTAAAGATAATTACAAATTAGATTTTATTAAACATTTTTGTGCCAAAACATGCAGAAAACAAATGAACCATATTCAAAAAAATATGACCTTGAAAAAAAAATTAACGATTAAAAAATAAATCAAAGACTAAACTTTCCACCTAAGAATATACAGAAAATGAAGAAAGAGCCTACTTGCTTGGTCTGAAGTGGCAGTACCCCTAATAGCCTGCAGGTGGTCACTGCTACAGATCTGCACCTTCAACATGCTTCAACTGCCGTTTAAAATGCAAGGATGCCATCTTGTGGCCGTTGATAATCTCCAATAAAAGATTCCTCTTTGACTGCATGTTGCTGTGTGGTTACGCGGGTAAGTGTGGGATTTGTGGACAGCGACCTGTTGCATAAGAGGAGAAGATGGGAGAACTGAAGGCATGGATGAGATGAGTCAGATTTCAGAGTGAACATCTTACATGCTCTGTGGTTACAGATTACGCAGTATAAGACTTAAAAACCATGTGTTCTCTTACGTCTTGTCTTTGTCTTAATTGTGTTAGTAGCGTATAATTGCATTTATTGCCTCATAGGCCAGAGTTGTCAAATTCATTCACTGGACAAAAGTGTCACCTTATTAAAGTAGAATTTGTTACACCTTACTTCATCTATTAAAAGGATAGTTTACCCAAAAAATGAAGAGGTCATCATTTACTCACCCTCATATTGTTCCAAAACTGTATGATTTTCTTTCTTCTGTGGAACATGAAGGAAGTTATTTTGTCTTATTAGTGACCAAACCTTTAATTTCTACAGGTGTGTGACATATGGCTTGTTTCTGCCAGAGGATTAAGAATACATTTTTAAAAAGTATTTGCGAATTTTACATCACGATTCAGACGTTTGTGACATATAAACGCAGAATTATGAATTATAAAAAAAGATCAGAATTGTGAGATTGTCGTGGTTAACTTTTTTTGTTGTTGTTGTGTCGGAAACAAAAAGACAGAATTGCAAGATGTAAACTTAGAATTTTCTGAAAAAAAATAATGGGATATAAACTTAGAACTGCAAGATAAACTCAGAAAAACAAGATATAAGCTCAGAATTACAAGATATAAACTCAGAATTGTGAGATATAATGCCAAAATTACATAATATAATGTCAGAATTACAAGATATAAACTCAGAATTGTGAGATATAATGCCAGAATTACATAATATTTAATATAATGTCAGAATTACAAGATATAAACTCAGAATTGTGAGATAAACTCAGAATTAAAAGATTTAAACAGAATTGTGAGATATAAACTCAGAATTGTGAAATAGCCAATCAACTCATAATTACGAGATTTAAACTCATAATTACGAGATATAAACTCAGAATTATGAGATATAAACTCAGAATTAAAAGATTTATTGTGAGATATAAGCTCAGAATTAAAAGATTTAAACATAATTGGGATATATAAACTCAGAATTGTGAGATATAAACTCAGAATTACAAGGTATACAATTTGAATTATGAGATATAAACTCAGAATTGTGAGATAAACTCAGAATTGAAATATTTATTGTGAGATATAAACTCAGAGTTACAAGGTATAAAATTAGAATTATGAGATATAAACTCAGAATAACTCAGAATTAAAAGATTTTTTTGTGAGATATAAACTCAGAATTAAAAGATTTATTGTGAGATAAACTCAGAATTAAAAGATTTATTGTGAGATATAAACTCAGAATTGTGAGATATAAACTCAGAATTACAAGGTATACAATTTGAATTATGAGATATAAACTCAGAATTGTGAGATAAACTCAGAATTGAAATATTTATTTGTGAGATATAAACTCAGAATTAAAAGATTTTTTTGTGAGATATAAACTCAGAATTAAAAGATTTAAACATAATTGTGATATATAAACTCAGAATTGTGAGATATAAACTCAGAATTACAAGATTTAAACAGAATTGTGATATATAAACTCAGAATTATGAGGTATAAACTCAGAATTATGAGATATAAACTCAGAATTGTGAGATAAACTCAGAATTAAAAGATTTTTTTGTGAGATATAAACTCAGAATTAAAAGATTTTTTGTGAGATATAAACTCAGAATTAAAAGATTTAAACATAATTGTGATATATAAACTCAGAATTGTGAGATATAAGCTCAGAATTACAAAGTATAAAATTAGAATAAAATTGTGAGATAAATTCAGAATTAAAATATTTATAGTGAGATATAAACTCAGAATTACAAGGTATACTATTTTAATTATGAGATATAAACTCAGAATTGTGAGAGACTCAGAATTAAAAGATTTTTTTGTGAGATATAAACTCAGAATTAAAAGATTTAAACATAATTGTGATATATAAACTCAGAATTGTGAGATATAAGCTCAGAATTACAAAGTATAAAATTAGAATAAAATTGTGAGATAAATTCAGAATTAAAATATTTATAGTGAGATATAAACTCAGAATTACAAGGTATACTATTTTAATTATGAGATATAAACTCAGAATTGTGAAATAAACTCAGAATTAAAAGATTTATTGTAAGATATAGACTCAGAATTGTGAGATAAACTCAGAATTAAAAGATTTTTTTGTGAGATATAAACTCAGAATTACAAGGTATAAAATTTTAATTATGAGATATAAACTCAAAATTAAAAGATTTAAACAGAATTGTGAGGTGTAAACTCAGAATTGTGAGATATAAACTCAGACTTACAAGATTTAAACAGAATTGTGAGATATAAACTCAGAATTATGAGATATACGCTCAGAATTATGAGATATAAACTCAGAATTAAAAGATTTATTGTGAGATATAAACTCAGAATTACAAGGTATAAAATTAGAATTGTGAGATATAAACTCAGAATTGTGAGATAAATTCAGAATTAAAATATTTATAGTGAGATATAAACTCAGAATTACAAGGTATAAAATTTTAATTATGAGATATAAACTCAAAATTAAAAGATTTAAACAGAATTGTGAGGTGTAAACTCAGAATTGTGAGATATAAATTCAGAATTACAAGACTTAAACAGTATGTGAGATATAAACTCAGAATTAAAAGATTTATTGTAAGATAAACTCAGAATTAAAAGATTTATTGTGAGATATAAACTCAGAATTACAAGGTATAAAATTAGAATTATGAGATATAAACTCAGAATTAAAAGATTTAAACAGAATTGTGAGGTGTAAACTCAGAATTGTGAGATATAAATTCAGAATTACAAGACTTAAACAGAATTGTAGATATAAACTCAGAATTAAAAGATTTATTGTGAGATATAAACTCAGAATTAAAAGATTTAAACATAATTGTGATATATAAACTCAGAATTGTGAGATATAAACTCAGAATTACAAGGTATAAAATTAGTATTATGAGATATAAACTCAGAATTGTGAGAAAAACTCAGAATTAAAATATCTCTTGTGAGATATAAACTCAAGAGTTACAAGGTATAAAATTAGAATTATGAGATATAAACTCAGAATTGTGAGAAACTCAGAATTAAAAGATTTATTGTGAGATATAAACTCAGAATTAAAAGATTTATTGAGATATAAACTCAGAATTACAAGGTATAAAATTAGAATTATGAGATATAAACTCAGTCAATCGCAAACCTATGAACCGTTTGCTAACAAGCTTGATGATTCACTGAATAGAACCAACTCAAAAGACTTAATCAATATGCAGGATTTTCATTTGTCGTGTACACAGTTATACAGGGTACAACTTGCCGTAGTCAGCTACTGTGTATTAAAACATGTACTGTACATAATAGGGTGAATTCAGGTAAAGTGGGCTGTTTAAGCTTGATTACTGTGCTCAAA